ATAGTGCTCCCTAAATAAAATCTCCAGCTTTTTAAAGCTATTTTATTATCCTGAAAACAATAAAACAATAATAAGTTAGGAAGCAACTTCTGAGCTAAATGAAAATGAATACGTCATAACTGGTATTTTCAACTTGAGAAAGGTAGGAAATCGTAAGCACAATAGCCATGCTTACCTTCGACAGGGGAAACACATTATTTGAGACTTACATAGAACGTATTTTCTTAGTCACCAGAATTTCTTACTCCACCCCACAGTTTTCAAAGGAAAAAAAAATGTTCTCATATCCAGAGAATGCTATCGTCTGTGTTCATTGTGTTTCATTTTTGTATGACCCGATGAACTCTAGATTGGGTGTTGTCCTTTGCATCTAAGAACCTGAATTTTGTAACATTTAGTCATACCCTGAGGATAAATGCAGACTGTGATAATCAGGTTGGAGTTAAAGTAATCTAGGAAGTGACGAGATCTCTACCTCATCATAACTGTGAGGAAAAACATTCACGTTCAGCCTTTGATGTGTTTGTAGAGTGCTTTATTTTCATCTTGATTCTCTGCTCAGATAGATGTTACAGCTTGATTTTTTAAATTCCGTATTGTGGAAACAGCAGAGTTAAACATACACCCAAAAGAACCCTTGCCTCACAGACAGTTAACTCTGAACAACTCTGAAGAGTCCTTTTCTTAGTTCCTTTCTTGTCTCTGTACACAATAGCTGTTCCCTGTAAATTTCTGTTTACAGTTAATATCTGGAAGGGAAGCCCTTGATCTCTTTGTTCAGTCACACGAGTGGGTCTAAAATGTTGGCGTCTTTTTGAAACTGCTCTCTGAAGCATCTCTTTGAAACATGTGTCATAGTATTTTTACTTCTAGGAGTCTGCAGAGCTCTATACAAAATCCCTCTGCCAAGTGCTGGACAAAGGGACGAAATGGCAGCAATCACTCAGTCAGTAACTGCAAACCTGGAACAAACACGCCTGGCATGTTTCCCCTAGACTCCTAAAACACCCTTGAAATCTGTCCCAGTCATCACTCTGTGGAGTGCCCTGTGGAAAAGAGCAGAAGGCTGTTCCATTTCCAGAAATGGGGGGTTCTTGGGCTAGGCTCATTAGGGAAAAATCCTCGTCCTTTATTCTGTTAATTCTCTGTGTTCTTACCTCAGAGAAATGAGAAACGAGTTTCCCCAGCTCCTGGTTGTAACTGAGGAGATGTGAAATGAGTTCTATGAGCGATGAACATCTTTAAGAGGGTGACTAGAACTTGTCACATAAGCAGCCTCCGTGACACTCCACAAATATTTCAATGCACAACGTTTAAGGAATAAATTCCGAGAAATTATAAAGCTTCTAATGAAGCTAATATCATTGCTCTTTTCGCAGATCATGTTACTTCTCCTGTAGGGGTTTAAGCATTCTTCACTGCAATACAATGTTACCAACTTTATTATTTCCTTTTCTCAAGTTTTGTAGGTATCCTGTTAAAAGTCTTTTTCCTTTTTCTTAACCATTCTATGCCTCTTTGAATGTATAGGATATAAAAGATACTTTGGGTAGTGATTTTTAAAAAGGGAAGGTTCCAGAAAACATATTGTGTAGATAATAGAGGATGCTATTATTTCAGTTCTCGTCTTTCCTTGATAATGCATAATGAAGAAATAGGATATTTCCTAGAAATATGGTGACCTTTTAAATTAATGCTTACTATTTTTCATCATTTGGTCCCCTGGCTATGTCCATTCAGTCAACAGTCAAAAACTTAGGAAGCAGCAGAGAGATAAAGATAGAAGTTAATTTTCTCTGTCCTTCCTCATGATTTTTTCATATGCTGACATAACCACCTGCGCTTTCTAGCAGAACTTTCTGCAGTGATGGGAATGTTCTATATCTGCACTGTTCAATATGGTGGTCACTAGCAACATATGGTTATGGGCACATATTGCAAATGAGAAACTGAATTTTTAATTTTTATTTAATTGTAACTAATTTAAATGTAAATAGCTACGCATGGCTAGTGGCTGCCGTATTGAACAGCACAATCCTAGATCCATCTCTGCTTCTGCCACATTTACAACATCTAGAATTATTCCTGTCGTTGGACAAAATGCAAAAATGACTTTAGAGGAGTCTTCTTATTTTAATGTAGAATTTTATATTAAAAATTTGCTTGCTATTACAGTTTAAGAGTTAGAAGATATTTATATATGAAACAAAAGATTAGAGGTAATAAGATGTTGAGCTTCAGAATTGAGATGAAAGAATAGTATTTTTAGGTTTTACATATTTTATAAGCATCTGTCATTAAGACAAATTTAGCTAAAATTGCAAATTGAGACTAAGGAGACAAAAAAAATATTTTTTCAAGGAGTTTCTACTCTATGGCAAGGGCAGTGAGATTTGGGGTTATGATTATAGTAACTAACCATAACAAAAGTCAAGAAAATCTCTTGTCCTGTGTTTTCCTATGAGAAACAGGACAATAGAGCGAAAAACGTGCACAACTAGAAAAGAGAAGATGTGGATTCTGGTTCCAGTTCTGCCACAGGGGAGGCAACCTAGGGCCAGCCACTTAAAACCTCCCAGGGCCTCACGTTTTCTCAGTTAATCCCCACACTAGCCTACAATTTCGAGTTACCAGACAGAGCTGAAACTACATGATATCCATTTACTGTTACACTCTATCCTACACCAAAAATCTTATCTTACTCAAATTGTGGAAGGAATATAAACAAATTGGTGGTTGAAGTGCTAGGTAAATGCAAAAGAATACAGATATGATCTGGAGCAGTTAATGTTTATAGACTGCTTATAAAAATGTTGATTCACTCATCGAAAATAACACCTGTGCTATACTACCTCATGGAGATACTGGGTGAATGAAAGCATCTGAAGATTGTAAAGCACAAGACAGATGTGGGTGGAATTTTTTGAGAGCATGGACTGGCTTTCTCAGTCCTGGCTTCCTTACAGCCCTGAAAACTCACTTACCAAGTGAATGGACTCTCCGTGTAAGTCCTGCAAAATGCTCACACCCTTTCCCTTCTAGACCTTGCTTCACGTCTGGCCTTCCTGCCGAATTTCAGCAAACCTGAACAAGTAGATGAGACCTGTCTGTGTCATGCAATCAATTGGCATACTCAATGCCAATGCCATGCTCTGAAATTTGGTGCCCAGCTAGGCTTCCATTACGTTTTCTGCAATGCGTAGGCCGAACATGTAGTCATTATTCCCCTAAGGTGCTGTCAAAATCATTTAACTGTTTAGTTCTGTAAAGATAGGACTGCAGCTAAATGCACCCCGTAGTAACCCCAGAGTGCTCACAGAAAACTTCTCTTAGAAATTAATGTCTACAGATGTGAATATTACATTTTCAAAATTCATGAGAGTTTTATAGACCCTAACTGTAACCCCAGGCTTTGGTCACCTTCAAATTTAACTTGTCGGTGAAACATTACTGAACTCTTTGTCATTTGTGTCTTTCTCATTGAGTGCTATATCTTATGACTTGGTGTCAGTCCTTCCATTACAGTGCTCAGCCTCGACTGTGAATATTGCCTGCAAGTTGAGCAGCTACCCAGGTAGAAAATAATATGTTATCTCTTCTCAAAATATTTTTACTTGTAGTCACTTAGGTTTCAGAAAAATTGACTAGCAGCCCTTAAAAATCTTAACTCTATGCACATTTTTCGTAGAAGCTATAAGCATGAATGAAGTCAAAATGGAAGCAAAAATATGGAAGCCTTTTTTTTCTTAAAATAAGAAACAGTATGTGTACTGAATATTGCCTGCTTTAGAAGTTGGATAGACTCTTAAATAAACTCTTCATGATTCAGGTTTATATAATGCATTTGTCCTGAAATATGTACTTGTATTCCTATGTCAGCTATTAATTTGAAACTGTTACAAGGCCTTAACAACCTTTTTTTATTTTCCCAATAAACAAGAACCCAACTCAGCAGATAGCTTTTCTGCCTAGTATTGTTTTATTAGTGTAATAGCTGTATGGCAATGATTCATTCAGTGGTTTATTGGCAACAAGGTAGTTAAATATCTTTTGTGATATGGTGATTTGCAAACTGAGCATCTTTGACTTTGTGTAATGCTATATAAGATACCGACTGGCTCAGTCATTCTCCGTTTAATAAAAGTCAACTTCGCCTGGCTTCCTGTGGTTTTCCAGGTGGTGGAGAGGCATCAAGATTTCCATTTCCACCCATACGTGATAAGAAATGGCTGGCTACTCCTCAGTGGATTTTTATTTCAGTGTGTTTGCAGCTGTGAATCGTAGCTCAGAAAATAGGAAAGCATTTTGTGATGGTACCTACTAGCAAGTGTCCTTCAGCAGCTGTAATTAATTCAACAGTTCCTTCCCTTTAAAGGTGACCAGATAACACATAACCAGCCAGTTTGCTTTCTCAGATAAAGGCTTTTCATTTTTCTTTTAACTTCCCATGCTCTCTCAAATCAGCTTTGCTTTCTTCCTCCTTTCAATGCTGTGTACCTGAACCTAAGACTATTACATGGTCTGAAGGCTTTGAACATCAGTGCTGTGATCAGCCAGAAAAGCAGTCCAATTTCCACTTTATTCAAACAGTGCTTTCCTGTCTTGTCTGGGAAAGTGTCTGCCAATTCATTTTTCTCTTCTTATCAGCAAAACACATATATACTGTCCTCATGTTGCTTAATATAAAACACAGGGAAAATCCCTGAACAATCAGAAGACCGGTTAGAAAAACTGCCCAGGCTCTGCTCTTATCCTAAAGCACACACTTTTGTTTGCCATCAAATGAGAAACCAAATCGACAGAGCACTGATTTTATAGATGCCAGTCATTGCAACTTATTAGGCTTTCATAATAGTCTTCTTTAAACAGAGAATATTTATCATATGCTCATCTTCTTAGGAACCATTTCCCTTCCCTGCATCTGCCAAACCCCAAATCTGGTTTACATGGAGATAGTCTTGGACAATTATGTCTAATTTATATTGGAGAAAGTCTTGGCGAAGCTGTGGGACTTAGCCTCTAACCCCTTCCAAGACACTCTGCCCAAATAGGGCACAATAGGCTTTTCATGTCTGTCATGGGCAGGGCTATTTAATATCCAAAAAGGTAATACGTTCTTCAACATTGCTTTTTTTACTTATATCTTAATGGAAAAGCAACAACCTTTATTTTCTGTAGTTACCCAGCAGGAGACAACATAGGAGCAGGGAAAGGCAAAGGTCATTGTAACTCTGCTCTCAGTACTTTAAATTTTTTAAAAAAATTGTGAGGGATTAAAAGTGGTCCAGGTGCCAGCCCAGTGGCGCAAGTGGTTAAGTCCGCGCTCCACTGCGGCAGCCCGGGGTTCGCCGGTTCGGATCCCGGGCGCGCCCCAACGCACTGCTTGGCAAGCCATGCTGTGGCGGCTTGCCATATAAAGTAGAGGAGGATGGGCATGGATGTTAGCCCAGGGCCAGTCTTCCGCAGCAAAAAAAGAGGAGGATTGGCAGATGTTAGCACAGGGCTGATCTCCTCACACACACACACACAAAAAAGTGGTCCAAAGCATGGGCCACTTTACTTTGCCCTCTGCTTTATTTGCTGGCTTATTTTGTCCCCTGTGTTTGTTGGAGGTGGGATAGAGGAGAGCATGGAGGAGGTAAAAAGGAGAGAACATGCACATATGCCCCCATACTTCCACATTGGCAGCATCACCCACCACGTTCACCCAGGTGCATTTCTTTAGCAGCCACTGTGTTCTCAATATACTGCTGAGCTGTACAGACAAAAGTTTCAATTTCATAGAAAAGGGCATAAGCTAGTCCTTGTGGAGTCAAATGCTGGTTCCACCAATTACTAGCTCTGTGACTTTGGACCAGTAGCATGATCTCTTTCTTTCTTTATCTATGAACAGAATTAGAAAAGTACCTAATAGTACCTGTAGTGTTGCAATGAAGTCATCCAAGTAAGTTAATCTTTGCCAAGTCTCTTACAACAGTGTGTGGCATCTAGTAAATACTCAAAAATGTTAGTGATTATTTTTGCTCTCCTTGCCCTCAAAGTGCTTCTAATCTAATCAATAGAGAGAATGCATAATAAATCATGTGAGAGTATGTGATACATATTGTAAATGCAATAGACTTGCAAGAGAAAAAGATAACAATGTCAATTATCTATCAAAAGTGACATTTGGACAGCTTTACCAATATCAAATATTTTTGAGACTTTGTGCCTTCCTCATGACTTCTCTTACGGTGTTCTTTTTCCCCCCAATTTTGTACTCATAAATATTCCTTTGAAGCTCTGCTACAAGTGGGACTTTGTGTTCCATTCCGTGTCAGCAGAGTCCAGGCTCCCTAGCTTGATTGAACACTGAACAAATGCAGTGATTCATTCTCCTCCTGGCTGGAACTCCCATGGAACCGCATGGCTAGATACTAAAGTAAAGTGGGTATGCAGACCATGATGCCTGACTACTGAGGACTCTGGGCCTCTTTTTCCTAGGAGATGGTTTTGGTTTGTTTATGACTTGAAACAGGTAATGTGAGGACAAGAAAATTGCTGAGAATATAACGTACTTAAAGTAAAGAATTGTGGGGATGCCAGGAAAAGTTATGCAGATGTGAAAGCAAGATTTCACTGCATCTAACCTTCATCTGGGACCAAAGTATACCAAGCAAAGTGTATCAGGTCTCCACTCCAGTTCACATGTGGGGCCCGACACACTTTTGAGACGCGAAAGGAAATCACAGGCACATTGGAGAGGCATTGGGTCAGAGTGTGCTAGGAGCACAAAGGACAAAGCCTTGCTTCTGGGTCCAAGTTGCCAAAAGACCCTGGACAAGGCACTTAGCCTCCTTTAGAGTCCAATTCTCTAATCTATAAAATGGGAATAAAGATACTTTCTCTACTGTGTGACAAGGTTTGTCGGAGGGCAAAAGAAATAGTGCGTCTCTGCAAAGTCTTTGAAAACTGTAAAATGCTACATAATTGTATGGTGGTGCCATGATGGAGTTTACAGTCTAAAAGGAAAATAGAACAAAATCAAAAGTAAAGGCTAATAGGAACCTAAGAACAAAAAGAAGAGAAGCAATTAAACTGACTACATAGTGTATGTTCAAACAAGAATATAATTTTCCAAGTATTTGTGTGTGTGATGACTGATGGTTGACTTCAGTGAAGGCCACAGCAGGAAGGAAGAGTTAGCTTCTATTTAAACTTACTAATTTAAAAATTATGTTTAAACTTATTAATTTTAAAAAATTAAGGATATACTTTATTAATTTAAGAAATGCTGTATTGATACATAGGTATTCATCTACAAAGATTTTAGTGGAGCCTGATCTGTTTTGAATTGTAAAAGGTATTATATATTAGCAAATGTGTGTGAACATAAACACCTTTTCATATATTTATGGCCACTAGTGACCTGCATCAGGGCAAAATGTTTTACATCAATCAAACATTTAGTCATAGCGGCATATTATGTTCATGACTTGGTTCATTGTCCTCTCCACAGAGATAATAATATGCTCAGTATTGTTATCCCTAACACATCCTTTGGTCAGAAGAATCTTTATGACAGTATTTGGGACAGCACCTGGCACAAAACAGGTCCTTAGAAAGCTGTCAATAAATACCTGCTAGGACACCGGAGATCATCTTGGTACTGTAGGTAGTCGATGCAGGAGGCATTACTCTGGGATCAGGAGACCCCTCTACTTCAAGGAGTTCATGAAGGCTTGTAAAAATATTTACATGTGTACATTCTAATAGCAAGCCCATAGCTTTCGTTGGATTCTCAAAGGGTTAAGAACCAGTTGTCTTAAAGATAATAAGTGGTATCTAGTTGAGGTAAACTCCAGGGGCTTTCTAACAGGAAATATGCTTCTTGTCCTAGGTATTAAAGTTTGAGCCTGGCCATTTCAAGAGGAGGGGCAGAGCGAAGCACATGGCTCTCGTTGACATCCAGTTGGATCACCATGAGCGGTGTGATTGTATCTGCAGCTCAAGACCACCTCGATAAAAGAGTGTGCACGTACAGTACTTACATTAAGCATGAAAGAGCCTTTAGTTTAAGCAGGGTGTGGCAAGAGACCCTTCTCCCACCAGCAACCGAACTTCCTGCTAGCCTGCAAAGCAATGAATACAAGTGGTTGCTGAGTTTCAACCTAGCTTTGTTAGTGCCATGGCAAGTAGAAAGGTGTATCATCAACCTCTATATCCTAGAATATAGGATTGCATTTAATAATAGTGTCTGAGGATATATATATGTACACACAAATATATATATGTATCTCCATGTCTATGTGTAAATAGATGAAAATGGTTTATTCAGTATGTATAACCAGGTACACCAGAGCTTACATATGGTTGAGTTATTTAGACCCTTAAAATCTTTTGACAAAATAGGGGACATATACATGAAACATTCCTTTGGAAGATTTGGAAGATTAATTTGTTTATTTTAAAATTTTGAATCACAAAACAATTTTGGATCTTGCTCTTTTCAAGAAAGCACCTTGTGTATTAAAAACCAATAGATGAGCTTTTCTTATGCATACATCTAAATTATAAAAAAGGAAAAATATGGTTTCTGGGAAAAAGGCACAAACCTAACCATTTTTCCCATGAGATGCACCACATACTTACCTATGTAGACAATAATTACCTGTCTCCAGAAGCATGCCATAGTAATATAGGTGCTTTAGAAATTGTCATTAAGTCTTCTTTTTATGCCTCTTGCTGAGGCATGCAAATTCATTTAACATCTGTCTCAAAACAAGTTTCTCAGAAGGCTTATTATTATAATCCTATGAGAGACAATTTATAAGTTGTAGCAGAATTGTGAATTGTTAATTTCCAAAAACCCCTCTACAGTAGTAACTCTTTTGGAGAACGGCATGGGTAGTCTATATAAGCCTTTCAAAACAGTGTTCATTGAAAGATTGAGGCAGTTGAAAGTCAAAAATGTGAGTGTTGACATATTAACATAACTGGAAATTGGATGGAATATTTGACAGGATCCATATTTAACGGTGGATTCAGACTCTCCAAACAATGCCAATTAATTTTATGTATCTTGTTTTTGTGTTCCTGTCTCTTCAGTATACAGACATGGATTTACAATGACATTTTATATTTGGCAAGCTCTCAAGGATTATTGATAGCCTAAAAGCTTTTGTGTATTCAAACAAACCAATTTTATTGACGTAAATCCCTAATCATGTACTCACTCACCATTCTGAATTCCTGTTTCTGAACTAAGTGAAATCAGATCTGGGGTCTCTGGTTCTTTCCAAATCTACGGAGCTTGTTCGAAGAAGCGACACTACCAATTGTGGGAGCTCAAGTTCGCCCTGCTCTACTACTAGAAACCTGTTTTTGCATTGATGGTTGTTATTGGTATTTAAAGTAATTTTTCCTCCCTGGCTCCTTAGTGTCTGTTTTAAAGGAGAGTGACTCCAGGCGTAGGAAGTGATTCATCATTCTCCAAAGCAAGACTCTTAAGAGAGCAACACTGAAATCAAGATAGCCCAGGGGCTGCTCAGAGAAAGCTACATTTTCCTTCCTGCCGTGAGAGAAAAAAGGAGAGCGGATTTCTTCCATGAGTCAGGGCCCTAGTGACTACAACCAATTTGAGTGAGGGATATGTGACAGGGGCTTGTTAAGTCCCAGTGTCAGATGAGTGGCCTAAATATACTTGGATTTCTAAGCATGGTGTTCTCAGGACCAAGTTCTCAACTACCCTTAGAAGCTCATTTCTTCTCAGCTCCTTGAGAGGAAAGGCCAATGCTTATTGAAGTAAGTACCTTCAAAACTTCCCCAAAAGCATCCAGTGTTTTTATCTCAGGGGTGAGTGGTAAAATTAAGTACTCTATTGTCCAAAGTCTGTGTCCCCAGAGCACAGTCAGAAATAGCTGAGGCAGACACTCTAATAACAGGAACCACTCCTCCCCTTCATGACCACTTGTGCCAGTTTCCCACGAAAACATCAGTTTCTTGTACCAAAATCAAAATGTGTGTTACATCACTCCGGTTTGTTCAGCTCACCTTGGAGCTGTAAGTATGAAAAATTAGAGTGTTCTACTCCATTTTCAATAAACCTTCCAGGCTGCAATAACCAGGATGGTTTTCGGTTAAAGCCCTATCTGTACTTTTTATTTATTAGCTGAAATGTAAGCAGGCATATTCACTCACTTTTCTTTCTTCTTTCCTGAGTGTTTTATTAAAACTTCTCCCTTGGTTATCTGTTATCTATTGCACTTTCAACACGTAGTCAATAAATCTGTTTCATTGCCATCAAAGGAATAAAAAGCTTGCCGTACAAATTACATTTCAAAACAAACCGTAATAAATCTGCATTTTGGCATGGCTCACTCACCTGGAATAATGCCTTTCATTCAATATGTTCTTATAGGGCAGAACACTTTCATAAGGAGAATTTTTTATGTTTTTTGTCATATCGGTAACAACCAGCTTTTTCCTCTCATATCATCATCTATAGCAAATGTAATATGCCTCTTATCTTCGTGAAAAATAAATATTGCTTTGAAACAAAACTATTTCATTATTTAGGACTCAATGGCAGTTTTAAAAGGTGTACAATGTTACAAACTTACTTTCACAAATGCACACAGTTGTTTGGAGTGAAAAGATTGGGTGAGGGCTTGATTTTAGGATGTTGAAAGAGCGCTAACCTTGTTCTTTGACCACAGGCTTTTACTCTGTTCCTGTCCTGAAGCCGAGCAGCAACAAGGCGGACCTGGGTTCTGTTGTTTTGTTGTTGCTATTGTCGCTTCTTTGTTTGACTGTTTGTTTCCCCACAGGCCTTTTAATGAAATATATTCTCCTCTGACATTCCTTGCTTTTGGGGTTCACAGCCTCTGTCTTCCTTAGGGCCTGAAATAAATATCATCACAGACTCCTTTCCCGTTTGTCTGCCCTTGCCCTTTTTCCCATCTAGACCGACACCCCAGCTTGGTGAGTCAGTCTTGTCAGCTCAGGGAGACTAGTTTTGGGGCTGCCCTCCTATACAATTTGGTTTATGACTTAGCGGGGGCCAAAGCATAAAGAGAGCTCTTCTGGCTGCAAGAACTTTTGCTTTGCTTATAGCTGAGTCTTTATCATCATCCTACTGAAGATAGAACAGCAGCTGCACAGTGTTGGGTGAAACTCTGCCACTTTATTTAGTTTAGTGGTTTTAGGTTATTTGGGTAAAGGGAGTAGAGACATATGTATTCGGTGGCAAAAATCAATTTTACCATTGGCAATACCAGCTATTGTGTGAGTCAAAGTGTGGGGGAGGGATGGGGAAAGACTCAAATAATGCTGTGCATAGTAGTTAATTCAGATAACTTGGATTCTTATGTCAAAAATCATACTAGCCATATATAGAAACAGTATTTTAATGCAAATACATTAAGATTTTATTTCATTTCCTAAAATGTGCATGTATCCTTTTTTACTCGAAGAATAATTCAACAGATGTCCAAATTGTCCATATTCTCCTAGGGTCCTCTGGTAGAGCATTAAATTAAAATTCATAGATTAGTATTCATGACTGAAATCCTAGAAAATACAATTTTGCTTATTGACAGCTCTGATCAGATATGCTAGAAAATAGAATATTTATAATTCACTGGTTTTATTGACGTTCACTCAACTTCTCTTGTTTTTAAAGACCTAGTTAAAGACTACACAGCCCTTCAAAACTCAACATAACACACTGGGTATCTCCCATATGTAATAGACATCAACAATGGATAAGCAGCTAACTGCTTAATTTAAGACTTTATGCTCGCTCTTCATGCTATAGTTCCAAATTTGCAAGTTAATTTGTTTCTTTTTTTTTAAATAAACTTCATTTCTATAGAGATCTCTAAAAATTCTTTAGCAGATCGCATTAGAAGAGAGTGGAGCTGAGCCCGCAATAAAGGTTAATGTACTCAGTGCAGCAAGTTATGGGCCAAGAAATCTTCATTTTCTGATAAAACCATTTGACTTTCTAATTATTTTAAACTGTTGGATACTGGTTGCCAGGTTTAGTGGCCAGGAACCAAATGTTAAAATCACTCTTGTATTCCATTTATATTTTAAATAATGCCTGTCATACAAATTCTCTTTTAAGAACTAAAGTCTCTGGGTCATAGTCTCTAACCTATGTGTTTGGTTGAGGCCATATTGCAAATTCATTCTGTTCTAGTATCTTGTAGTCTTTCCTTTTCTCTGTGTGACTTCCACGTTCCTTCTGTTTCTCACCAGTCTCTACCCACCAATCTTCAAGTCAGAATCAAGATCTATGTCTGCTTTGGGAAGGCAGAGGAGACGAGGATCATTTCAGGAGATCAGGAGATCAAATGCAGGGTTTCCCAAGTGAGCAATTAATAGGGTAAAATTGCCAACGGTTAAGAAATCACTGCTTTTCGAGAGTTGAACCCATCAAGTGAATATTTCCCAATATTGTCCATTTTGGTGCAAACTTCAGAATATGGTGGTGGATATTTATTAAATTCCATCAAAGGAAATTTAACCACAGCCAATATGGGGAAAACTGACTAAAGTAAATGCTTCATTCATTCATTCGACAACAAAATGTATTAAAATACACGATGTATCAGGCATGCTTTGGGGTTCAAAACACAAGATCTGCAACAAAGGAGAAAACTAGAGAAAGATGTTTTAGGTGGGATAAACAGAAAAAATAAAGATCCCCCAGCAAAAATACAAAGGTGAATGCGGGCAGTTCAAAGACTAGAGAGTGAAGTGGCAGTAAGGAAAGGAAGCTGCAGGGGAACAATTGGTCGTATGTTTGAAAAAGTAGATAAAGCACCTGACGACACAAAGTCTCACGTGGATGGCTAGCAAAGGAGTTTCATTTTTTACATGTTAGAGAGGAAGCCATGGGGGCTTCTGAGCATGGTAGGGGCTGCAAGGGTCATAAAGTACCAGAGAGAAAGTTAGAAGCCCTTGAGTATAATGACAAGTCAGCCACTTTCTGGACCTATGTTTCCTCATTTACAAAAATCAGAAAGGTAAGATGTTCTGTAGGTCCTTTCCAACAGAACAATTCTGCATTTTGGAAGTTGGCAGTCTGCAGGAAGGATAGGGGTAGGCACATGAATTAGGAGGCTCCTCAGAGTTCTAGAGGTGAGCCAGTAAAGACAGAAGTGAGACCTCTGGGACAGGAAGGGCTGTAGGCCCCCTGTGGTGGTGCAGGCTGTGCATTGCAAATCTCTAAGGGGTACTATATGCATGGACTAAATAAGAAAGGGTAACAAGAGGATTCAAAGGTCTTCATGACTGGATGGGGAGGGCAGTGCAGGCTTGGGGGCGTGTTCTGGAGGAAGGTGTCATGTGACTAGGAATTTCAAGAGTATTCTCCTGGGAAAACTTGGGAGGCAGGAAGGGGAAGTGAATTTGGAGAGAAGAGATCATGTCTCTCAGAAGAGCCAGGGCTTGTCGTTTTGGCTGAGAGTCATCCTTATGGTGGCAAAGCTGAAACCCTGAGAAGACGAAAGCCAGCACCTGAAGGACGCCCATCGCCACAGAGAACAGGGAAAAAGAGGAATTCACAAAGCTCCACAAACATGTATTCCAACAATTTGGAAAATACTTACCCGAAGGCTAGTTAAGTGCCCAGCACCGTGCCAGATGGTGACAGATTTAGAGAACAATGAAACAGCCATGTTTGGGGGCCAGCCCCTTGGCCTAGTGGTTAAGTTTGGTGTGCTCCGCTTCAGTGGCCCGGGTTCAGTTCCCAGGCACAGCCCTGCACCACTTGTCAGCGGCCACGCTATGGCAGTGACCCACATACAAAATAGAGGAAGATTGGCACAGATGTTAGCTCAGGGCGAATCTTCCTCAAGCAAAAAGAGGAAGATTGGCAATAGATGTTAGCTCAGGGCCAATCTTCCTCAGCAAAAAAAAAAAAAAAACACAGCCATGTTTCCTGCTCTTATCAAGCTAGAGAAGGAAGAGTAGATATTAAATAAATAATCCATTATATTTTGGAAAAGCAAAAGCATAATGTGAGATGACATTAAAAGGTGGAATTTAAAGTGGGAACACAGAGGAATACCTTAAGAAGATGACATTGGAGCAAGAACAGAAAGTCAAATAAATATTAGCCAGGGGGAAGTAGAAGAAGAGTGTGCGTTAAGATGGTGACATTATAAATGAAAAAAAAAAAGTTGTGGTTAGATTAGAGAAATATTTTGAATGTTTAATCCACCAGAGTTAGTGATGGATTAGGTGTTGAGAATGAGGTGAAGGAAAATGTCAAGGATTTTTCCAAAGCTTCTGGCATAACAAACTGGGCAGATAGAGATGCTCTTTATTGAGATGGGGAACATGGGTATAGGAAGAGACTTGGGGTAGATCAAGAATTCCATGTGAGATATTAATGCCAAATAGTCTTTGACATATCCAGTTGGAGGTATTATTAAGTAGGCAGTTAGGTCTGTGGGTCTGGAGCTCAGAAAAGAGGTCTGAGACTGAGATGTAAATTTGGGAGTCATCAACATGTAGCTATTAAAATCCAGAGGAATGGTTGAGTCACTTAGGGGAGGGTGAAGATTGAGGGGAGAAAGGATCACAGGGCAATTGCAAGAGTGTAAAAATATCCTGAGTGCTAGAGGCAGAAATTGTTCCAAGGGGACTGGGCCAGTATCCCCCTGGAATACTTTATCAAGTATTGCGGGGAAGATGTAGCAGACACCTACTGAGGGAAATGCCCAGAAGCACTCCTCCCTTCCCCTGCCTCCACTCCTTTTCTGGGAAAAGCTGTTATCTATAGTGGCGCTGTCCAATGGAACTTTTTTGCAATGATGTAAGTGTTCTGTATCTGCACTGTCCAATACTGCAGCCACTAGCTACGTATGGCTATTGAGCCCTTGAAATGTGACTGGTAAGGCTGAAGACTTTTTAATTTTACTTAAGTTAATTAATTTACATTTAAATGTAAATAGCCACATTGTAACTAGTGGCTACTGTATCAGACAGTGCAGCTCTAGACTCTAGACATCACCCACAGACTTGCAGCCACAAACACCTCACAGTACCACACACACATGAACACACACACACACCAGCCTCAGCTGAATATCCAGGGTTGTGGCACCTGACCCCACCTGGTACCTAAGTGTTTCTCAGGATATATGGAACTGAGAAGAGAGTCAGACAGTCTGTCTTTGGTTATTTGGATGGTAGGATGTAAAACTCGATGGCTTTTGGCAGGCATGCTTCTTCCACATAGACCGAACAGTCCAGAA